AACAGATTCCAAATCTTTAGCTCCGTTTAGGACACAGAGCTAAACAAAGGCTGAAAAGGCAGAAACCACTGAATTTTGACATTTGTGGACTATTGCCATACTTTTAAATTTGCATGCCAGAGAGGTAGAGTTTGTATGGACCCTTTTTTTTTAAAGGAAGAATTTCAGTAGTTTCGGGGACAGTCTAATTCTCCTCATTCATGAAAAATGCTGCTGGTTTTATGTCATCTGCTGAGGTAATGACATTCGTTATTGGAGGAGAGTGTCCATTCTTACATCTTTACAGTAATTTTTATCTTGATTCTTAGTTGTTAAATCTAAAGAGGAAGCTTGCACACAAGCCCCATTGCATTCTGTATGAGAGGTCAAAGCTGGCGTTTTTATACATTCTGCACTTATTGAGTGATTTTTTGTGAAACTAAAATATTCGCCTATGACAACAGAGAAAGCTGCTCTGCTTTCCTTCTTGGGACCTGTCCTTCTTTTCACATTTAAAATTAGCCTTTCTTTATAAACCAGAGTAAAATGCTGCAAGGGATTTTTTTTGTTACTTTCTAATGTATCTTCCTTCTGATTTCAGCTTGGGGAAGAGCTGCTGCTGCCACATACCTGGTTGGCTTTATACTTCTAGTCATCTGTTTCGCTCTGGCCATCATAGCATTTGCCATTGACACACTTCGGTTCAACTTCATACGAGGGATTGGAGGCTTGCTTTTTGTTGCTGGTAAGGCAGTGTATGAAGCCAAGTTTGGCTTGTGCAGGTATATCCATACTAGAGCTGGTATTTCCCTCAGCTGTTTCTATACCTAAGTCTCTGCCTGTGTGCACTTGAGCTTTCTATGAAAAATAATATAAAGTCTGTCATGGCAGTGGATCAATTTTCAAGTCCTCCAAAACACAAGTGGGTTCAGCTACAGGTATTTTGGAGGCAGGTAATGTGATAGGTGTTGGCTTAAACCTTTTTTTTCTCCTGTTTCTTCAGCTGTGTTCTCCATCATGGGCCTGGTCATTTATCCAGTAAAGTTCTCAACTGAAATTGAAATGACGGGAATCAATATGTTCAGCTGGGCCTATGGCTTCGGCTGGACCACCGCCATTATGGAAATATGCTTGGGATTCTTCTTCTGCTGCCTTCCTAACTATGAAGATCAAATCTTGGGTAATGTGAAGCCCACATATTTTTACTCTTCCCCATAAGCACCAGGAAAAATGCGTTTGTATTCCAGAGATACCTGACAGAGCAGCTACGTTTTCCAGAATATCGTCATTGGATGTTAGTAGAAAAGGCTGGAAACTTTTCAAATGCGTGTAGAAAAACAGTACTGGCGTTCTGCAATAAAGTTAACTACTCTAGTTTGGACCTTCCTATCTGATGTCATTTGGTTAGATAAAGTCTAAACATTAAAAAACCTTGTGTTTCCTCATTCATTCCCCTGAGTGGGGTGTATGTGGGTTCCCACATTTTCCCATCTAAGACTGCATCTTAAATGCATTCATATTTCTAATCAAATTCAGAAAAGATTTTAAATTGCCAATAAAAAACCCAACATATATCATCTTCCTGAAGGAAAGCAGCTCACAAATATCCTGTTTTGTATGTATCATCTTTAACCTGAAGATTTTGCACATATTTCAAGAAGCCAAACACCTCTATCCACTGACTGACAAGGTAGTAATTTAGTCAGCCAGCACTTTATAGTCTTGCTTCCATTTTTCATTCACTTACTTAAGCCATAGGGACAGGATAAGAAAAGGCCAACAGAAAGCCTCCTACCAAAGCCAGCATCTTGACTTTTACCCATCCATGTGGAATGTAAGTATTTATTTCTAAATATTTGTAAGAGTAAGCATGGACCATCAATAAACCCTTAAAAATCCCGGCATGCCATTACTGGGGCCAGCACAGAGCTGGCAGATGCAGAAGGGATTTCAAGACACCCCCGCAACCTACAGACCCAGTTTGAAGAGGCTCCCGGTATGGCTTTCTTCATGGGCATCTGCCTCTTTTATCTGCTGAATCAAAATCTTTGGCTTTAAGGAGCTCTGTTATACCAGTCCAGCTCTTCTATCCAGCGTAGAAGGGTCAGGAGGGACTTAAGCAGAGTTATGATTCCCCTACACATCAGGAGTTGAGCTGAAGCAGTGCAAGTGTAGGTATCAAACATTTGTTAAATGTCCCCATTGTCATTGGTTTGCTGTTCACAAGTATTTTGAAAGTGGAAAGAGTATACTGTTGTACGTAACTGTAAAATGCATAAATACCCCTTACCATGTCATACTAAGGCTGTCATAGAGAAAATCACATCGTAAAACACCTTTCAGTATCTTATACTCCACAGTGCTGCAAGCCTCAATGTATTGCAATACTCAAGACTGCTGTTTTGTGCCTTGTTAATCCTAAATTTATAATGTTGCATTTCTTCTCCTAAGTGAAAAAATGATAATTTTGCTATGTGGAAAAACAATTCTCATCAAAATCCTTAGCTACAGAGGATTATTAACTTGTAACACATCTGCAATTTTGTAACTATGTATATTTTATGAAAAGTGCCCCACGAAATATGCTTTACTGCAGAGAATGAGAGGTAGAAAGAATTTTTATTAAAACCTCTGTGTAGCTAAAATTAAAAAAAGCACAGGACTTAACCCATTTTTTTGAAGCAGTTAACTCCATTCACTTTTACAGAGTGTTTTCTAAATTTGGTCAATAAACTTGAGATGTATCAGACCAGTGGGGAGAGTATATACAACAGGGAATAGAGCTTGCAACTACGTTAAGAAGATGTTTCCTAGTTGGAAGGAAATTAAAATGAAATATAGTTGAGAAAGTAGTTCATATAAAATGGCTTGCAATTCTTTCTGTAATATTATCTGTTCAGGAAAAAAATCATCATAAATTTTTTCGTTATGCTTATTATACCTAATAAATGATGGTATCTATGTGTCGTTTCAAAAATGAGTCAGCATTTGTTCTCTACTAAGAATGGGGAAGTGTGGAAGCCCCCAAAGCCTCCTCTTCTCAGGCACCTCCTTGGAGCACCGAGGTACACTGGCTGGATTTTGAGAGGGGAGAGTAACTTACACATCTGGCATCACAACAGCTTGTATTATTCTTCAGTCCTGTTCTGGCTGTCTCCTGAGGCCTTGTTCACAGGCACATGAGAATAGTGGATTTACTTTGTTTGCTTATGGGCTATGTGGTGTCAAGTAACTATACGCACAGTTCTGTGCTGTAGTGTGCTACAGCTCGTTTTGGCATGGCGCGTAACACACCCGTGCTCGCCGAATAGGAAGCCAGCGTGGCCCTGCTTAATGTTTTTGCTCCAATGGATGTGGCAATCCCGTGAGGAAGCAAAAGGGAATTTGAGCAACCACTGATTGTAATTACAGTTTCTTTAACATTAGCTGGACACTGACCCAACATCTGGAGGTGGGGAAGGGTGCACAAAACAAGGTTTAGGAGCATGACTCCAACCTTGATGAGAGAGCAGAGCATAATTAAAAAGAAAATAAAATCTCCAGCAATCATCCCCCATCCTCTCTCCTCTCCCTTGCTGCTCTCAGCAGCTTCACCACCTCCTCTCTCTCCTCCTTCTTTTCCTCGTCCTCCTCCCTAAGGGCAACAGAGCAGTGTCAGGGCTGGTGTCTGTGGCTCTGCAGCCCCGGTCCCCATTCCCTGCTGCCATTTCCCCCTTCCTGGGAGAGAGGAAGAGTGAAGCATCTTTGCTGGCCCCAGTACAGCAGCAGGGACCATAATCTGGCTCCCTGCCCCAGGGTCCCACAGGGAAAGGCTTTCTCTAAAAAAAGGAGGGGGTTGTGCAGGTATCCAACAAGCAGAAACATCACAGGAGCTAAAGCTGAAGTGCCTGCCTTTAGGGTAGTTTGCTGCTAGTCATGCAAGGCCAGTTCACCACAGATCCCTAGGAAAACACATCCTAAGCCCTGCAGCAGAAAAACAGTGAGAAAAAGTATAAAACTCTTGTACAAATCCCAGTGCTGTTCCCTGTGACTGCTGCAACAGGTGAATGTGGCAAAAGCAGCACACACAATGCAGTCAGTTCTGATAGAAAAGGAAGCTGAATCCAGAAGCCAGGATGTGCCTCAACTAGATTACTAACTAACTAGGTTATCAACTAAATTGTTAAATTAGTCTACAGACAGGGCAAGTAGGTTATTAACTAACCAAATTGTTAGATTAATTTGAGCTAAGTCAGCATCAGAAAGTTTGGATTTTTAGAAATCAGAGGAAGAGAAGACACCCCTTTACTTCCGCATCTTGTTTGGCAGGGTTCTTGCCCCAAGTCTTGTCTATAAGAGAAAAGGGCACTTAACCACTAAGAGCAGCATAATAAAAGACTAAAAGTTTCATTGTGACCAATGGCTATGTTAAAGAGAGATCAGAAGAGAACAGATGTTTGCAAGATTTGGCTTTTGTGAACATTAGGTCTGCTACAGCAACAGAAGTAAAGACCTGACTGCCAAAGGCAGTGCTGCTGTTCCTGTCAAATTAAGAATTAGGAAACATCCTCCAACAAATATGTTTTATCTAATTCAACTATACTACTGAAAAGCAAAGGAAAAATTCTGCTGAAAACAAGTGGAATGTCAAGCAGACCTACAGGTACAAACTGAAGCAAAAGAAATAATGAAAACTTTCTACTGGTAAGTTAATATGTTCCATTTAATGTCTGGTGTTTCTGCCAGAACTTGTATGACGTGGACATTTTGGCCTTTTCAATTTTCTCTGCAATATGTCCATATTTCACTCTCTCTTTTTCAGGCACCTGCTATTTGATCTTAAAATACAGCCTGCTTAATCAATAATGCAAATGCAATCTAGTTTGCAAGTGTATTAAAGTTGTGCATATTTTGTTGTATGAACTAATGCTCTGAGTGAAGTTTTGACCCCATTGACATCACTTGCAAAACATTTATTGATTTTCTTGAGGCTGACATTTCATCCTTGAAGGGCAAATGCTTTTTTTTTTTACGTGCTCAGAATCAATAGTATCTCTATGGGATGCTTCATTGATTTCAGCAGCTCTGTTTACTTCTGGAGTAGGACACTGATCTGTACAAGGTAAGGAACAAGAGTTACAGCAGACAGGATCATTCCCAGAATAAAGGACAATTCAATATGTGTAAGATTAGCAGAATCTACATCATAATTAAATCACATTTCTTTTAGATACACATCACAGTTGCAGTAAAGAGATTCATCTTTCCTTTTGACACATCTCAATTGTGCAACAGCTATTACTTCTTATAATTCAATTTCTTGGAACATTTTCTTGCACGTTTCTATATTCAGTGGATTTGTGTGCTCTGAAGATGAGTAGATTTAAGAAAAGAATGGAACAATCAAGTTTGTGATAAGAGAGAACAGAATTGGCCCATTTGTACACTCTGTTGGAAAGCAGGAATCAAACCATCTTGCTAGAAGAATGGTGAACTGAACAACCAAAGAGTTACTTCTGAGTCATATCAGAAATTCAAAACTGAGAACTGAAAGACTGCTGTATAGTTAATAATATGGAAAGAGAGAGACAAAATCACATGGATCTTACTTTACCCTGTTCCTTACTGTCAAAATATTGCTTTTGCTAGAAATATTGGTTTCAAGAAAAAATTGCTACTCTGGTGCAACTGCATAATAATGTCTATGCCCAAATTTTATCTGCAAGATTCTTCAGTGCTAAGAGCCAAATCTAGAAAAGCACCTGGATAATTTTAAAGGTACAGATGGTTCTGACTGAGTCATCAGAGCTGTTTACACAGATGGTTCCTTAAGTGACTTTCGTATATCCATTTATGCACACTGGGTAGTTCCACAGGTTTCCTGTATAAAAAGTGTTGCAGTAAATGTTTTAAATTTTCTTTTTCATTTTCCATGATGAAGGTGAAAAAGTGGACACATCGTAGAATTTTGCATGTGACTATGTGGTGCGAGGAGAATTTACAGGAACAACTTTCAAAATAGTTTCACTGTTTATTATAAATGTGGTGAGAGTAGATCAAACTGCCCTCTCTTGGATTACTTTTATGACACATCCTTTTACTTGTGCCACTGTTTGCCTAAGCCATCTGTTTTTGTGTAAAAACAGTTTTGTGAAAACCTACTCTAATGGTTGTATCATACTGAAAATAAATTATATTAGGTATCCATGGAGAACCCATCATAAAGCACTTTAATTAGCCCTTGATTGTTCAAACGCAGTTTGAACAGAGAGAGATGTTGCCTATAGGCTTTTTTACAGAATAGTGTAAACCCAAAAGAAGAAGATTCACTCAACTATTGACTGTAGACCTGGGTTACATGTCCAGCTCCGCAGTTCTTACAAAGTAACTAG